GATTTTTCACTTAAGATGAAGAACAATGAAATAAATTCAGGAAATGAGTATAAGTTGTATGAGAGCTTGTAATGAATTCTTTCAAGTATTTCGTCAACTGAAGAAGATGAATGGAGTCTTGCTTTTATAGGCACAAAGATCCAAGAGCTTTTCACGTTGAAGGCTGTGTACCAAAAAGGTCTGAGCCTTTTTGTCTTCACATCACATGACCTTTCCTAGAAATAGAATGCACAGAAAAATCCTTTTTGTCTGTGTTCTTGTGTCTAGCATAAATGAGGAAAGAGTCATTTGGTCATTCCAACGGACATAACTTTGAATTCTTCTTCAACAAGTTTCAGCAAGAATCATTAGAGTCTTCTGATGTTCATCAGAGTTTGCTGAATCAGAGTCTTTGCAGCATGTGTGCTTTCAGCGTGTAAATGTTCATAGCAGAGTTTGGGACCAGATCCTCAGTACTGACACCGTTAGTATTAGCAGAGTCTTCTGAAATAACTGTGCTTGAAACTCTTCATACAGAATCCTTCAATGCTTCAGATGCTTCTGGCTTCTGCTTCAGATTCTTCTGTTGCTTCTGCTTCAGATCCTTCTGTAGCTTCTGCTTCAGATCCTTCTATAGACAGAACTCAGAATCTTCTGAAAGTAGCATTCAGAATCTTCTAACAGATGCTTCTGACGCTTCAGAGCCTTGCATATTTTTCATGTTCAGATCTAATTTGCTTCCAGAATGATATTTACTTCAATATCTGCAGCAAACATTCTTAAACAAATTTTAGAGTATATAAATCTTGAATACAAAATTTCATAAGAGTTATCATCAAAACATAGAGATATTATTAAGAACCAATCTGTGTTCTAACATTGAGAATTTTCAACTTGTGACCACATTTCCGCTCCGCCATGGATTTGAAACGCTTGAATACATCAAATACCTCATCCTTTCTCTTGATGAGATAAATCCACAACTTTCTACTAAAATCATCAATGAACGTCACAAAGTACCTATTTCCTCCATACGAATTGACTTGCATCGGTCCGCAAACATCCGAATATACCACCTCAAGGTAGCACTTGGTCCTATGACCCGCATCCTTGCTAAATGCAGCCTTGTGTTGATTTCCTTGAATACATTCATCACACAACTTAGCTAGAATCATAATCTTTGGCATCCCGATCACCATACCGTGCTTTTGCAACATGTCAAGGTCTCGAAAATTGAGGTGCCCAAGACGGTAATGCCACAACCACTCTTCACGACTTGCCGCTGTAGCTAAACACCTATGCTCCATCACTTTCAAAGCTATCTTGAAAGTTCTATTGGCAGCCATTGGTGCTTTAAGGACCAAAACTCCATTTCGGTCAAAAACGCGCAAAATCTTGTTTTCCAACCGGATAGTGTAATCTTTCTCAAGCAATTGGCCAATACTCAAGAGGTTACACTTAATCCCAGGAATATACAAGACATCTTTGATCAAGTAATGCCCACCATCCCTCTTCATGATCAAAACATCACCTACTCCTTCGGCCTCCAAAGTAGTATCGTCGGCAAATTTCACTTTGTTCTTGGTGGCTTGATTGATCTTGACATACCAATCTCTTCTACCTGTCATATGTGTTAAAAAACTGGAATCTAAGTACTACTCATCACTTGCTTGGGTTCCATATCGAATCGATACCATTGCGCTTCGTTCCGGACACTTTTCGACACACTTTTGCACCAAACTGTCATTGCTGGCCAACAACTTTCCTCTACTGTAGTTGCTGTCCAGCCCCTCCTTGACACCATAATTCTCCTCCGTGATCATCACAAGAAGCGTATCATCTTCCTTCGCATCTTGCCTTGCAACCCTTGCCTCATCACCATGCTTTTCCTTGGGTTTTGCAACACATTCATTTGCAAAATGCCCAAGCTTTTGACAATTATAGCACTTCACACCACTCTTGTCAATCTTCTTTCTATAGTTGCCATGACCACCACCTTGCTTGAAGCTGCCCTCTTCTCTTTGACTTGAAGAAGCCCTTGAATTTTGTGGATCCTTGCCACCAAAGTTAGGTTTCCCTCTCGTATTCCATTTCCCTTTTAGACGCTTGTTCTTGTCATTGAACTGTGCTTGCAAAGCCACTTCCGCCTTGGCCTTGTCATTACTTTTTTCATCCATTCTTTGCTCATGAGCTTCAAGGGAACTTTGAAGCTCATTCTTGGTCAATGTTGAAAGATCCTTTGATTCCTCTATAGCCACTACGATGTTGTCGAATCTTGGCGTTAAAGAACGCAAGATCTTGGACACAACATTCTTTTCCTCTAGGGATTCACCACAAGCCTTGATTTGGTTCACTAATCGCGTTATGCGCGTCACATAGTCGCATATCGACTCCTTCTTCTTCATTTGCATTAACTCGAAATGGCGCTTGTGAGTTTGTAACCTCACAACTTTGGCTTTATCAGCCCCAACATATGTCTTTTGAAGGATTTCCCATGCTTGTTTCGCGGATTCACAATCACCCACCTTTTCGAAGTTGTCGGCATCGACACAAGAATGAATCAAGAAGAGTGCTTTGTAATCTTTCTTCTTTCCTTCTTGATTTGTAGATTGTTGAGCAGCAGTAGCTTCTGCCCCAAGTGGTGTAACACCATTATTGATGATATCAAGAACATCTTGATACCCAAACAATACCTTCATTTGCTTTGCCCACTTGTCATAGTTCTTCGAATCAAGAATTGGGAGATTGGAAGGGATTCGATCGTTGGAAACGGTAGCCATGTTTGCAGCGGATAATTGGATCATAACCAAGGCTCTTGATGCCAAATGTTAGAACACAAAACAATGGAGGTGGATAAAAATGGTGGAAAGGGAAAATGGGGAAGATGAAGATGAAATTGAGAGAAAGAGAGAGAGAGAGAGAGAATTGAGGAGAATTGAGAAACTTTATTTACAATGGTATATTGGTTGTTACACACCACAATACATTCCCTTATATAGTGCTAAACATGTAACAAACAAAAACAAGCAAACTAACTATTACAACCGTCAAAACTGATGCAGCCTTCAACCCGCTTATCCATTTAAGCTGTTTCTTCAAACCAACTTCTGAGCTTTATTCCCTTGCATTTATCTTACTCAAACATCAACAGTTTTTACCTAATATTTTTTTGGCCAAAGCACACAAATTACATTCATACATATTTTTCATTACAGTAACAAAATATAAACGCATTAATTGATAACCTCATGAGTTTTGCTAAACTCCTTTGGTCACCAACACGACCACATACAATGTAAAGTGATTTAAAAAAATACCTTTTTAAAGTTCCATTGTTTTATATGTGAAATGATTATAGATGTCTATTAATGATAGAATTTTATATTGATTCTCGATTTATGATATATATCCTATAAATAAGACACACACTTTATTTGAAATGGACTATGATAATGAGAATAATACAATATATTATATTTTTCTCCTTATTCTCTTCTATTATTTTGTTCAGTTTCATAATATGTTATCAACATGAAACTCTACAAAACTTGAAAAGGACAAAATAAAATTTGATGGTTCTTGAAAAACATATTAGTTTATTGTATAGTTCATAAATAATTTATAAAATATATATAAAGGATAATAATTAATTTGTTATATAGTTACTGAAGAATTTATTGCAAGCATTTCTAAGAATTGCAAATAATATTATTTTTGTTAATAAAAAATTTTGTAATTGAGTTTTTGAAAAACTTATTAAACATCCTAAGTGATTTTAGATATTATTATTTTTTATTAACAAAAAAATTTATAATTGAGTTTATGAAGAATTACATAAAAAAAAGTTGTGATTGAATTTTTGAAAAATTTTATAAAAAATTGTGATTGAATTCATGAAGAATTAAAAAAAAAAGGTGTCATTGAGTTTCTTAAAGTAAGCATTTATACCATAAAAATGATATGTGAACTCCCCTAAAAACCACAATATAAAAGTTTCTTCCTAGTATATGAAGAACTATGCATTTATACCATAAAATTTTTTTTATTAATAAAAGGATTTGTAGTTGATTTGTAATTATTTAATATCATATTATTTTTTAAAATTATTTTATTTTAAAATAAATGAAAATATGAAATTAATTTACATTTAAGATATCAATATTCAACTATATATGACGAGTATCAAAGAATTACCATTGTTAAAACTTTTTTCAATTAAGAAGCTTAACGAAGATTACCATGTGCGGATGGATGTGGCATATGGGTAAAAGTAAAACAAAATGTATTTTGCTCGGAAAGAAACACAGATCCATAAATATATAATAAATTCAAGTTTTCTTTTCCATTGAAAAGGTTTTGCTACTTTATTACCAAAAATATAAGTGGAAAAGTGAAATAGAGCAGAGTCAAACAGGGACAGTTTTATACCATCCAAAATTCATTCTTAGTCTTTTCATATATATATTTATCTCAAACATACTCCTCAAAAACTTCTCAGCCACACTCATTCCTCATTCAATTTCTTTAATCTTTGTTACACATAAACAACAATCCAACCACCACACCAAATTCTTTTCTTACTAGTTAGTCGTATTTGTGTATTATATACCAAATGTGTATATAGAATTTTAGTAGTAAAAGGAACAAAATCAATGGTACAACAGAATTCTTGTTAGGTCCTGTTTTTGTTGTTCAATCTTATCAATACCTGTTTCTGTTTTCTCTGCTTTTCTGTTCAATTTCAATGCACCTCTTTCTTTCTTTCTCTGTCTACATAAGTAAAAAAACTTTAACCCACTCTTTTCAGTTTTGCTCAGATTCGTTTTTCTATAAACTCTGTTCAGAGAATTAATAACCCCGTCTGAGGTTTTTTGGGAACCACATCACAGCTTCGTGTAGTACTCTTTTGCTTCAAAAGTTTTATCTCCACCAATTCTTGTAAGGCACAACAAAACACTAGAAAATTACCGTCACTCCCTGGGTGAAGTAAGCTCTTTTGCTTTGATTTAAGAAACCAAAAAATGGATGTAAGCTTATTTTTCCCTTTCTTTTTCTTAATCTAGTAGTTAAAGTTGATGAGTAATGATTGATGGGTCATTTTTGTTTGTTATTATAGGAATATTTTAAGAGAAGTGGCCAAATACCAGCTTTTGGAAACTGGGATTTTACGAATGATTTGCCAATAACTCAATACTTCGAGAATGCAACACAGGCTGGCTTGGTTCGTTACAGTTCTTCATCTGGTGAGAGTGACCCTTATTTCCATGGAGAACAAGATCTGTATGCGGTTGATTATAAAAAACCAGTTGGAAAGGTAACATAATAAATTAATCATGAGTCAAAGATATGATTATGGAGAAATTTGTAGTATTTTGCAATAGTGTTTTGTCACGAGTGTTGATGAGGGACGGTTAATAATGTGATGTTTGAGAAAGGACATCAAGTCTGAAAAACACATGGCTCCTATTTTTTAGTACAAATTGTTTGCTTTCGATAAAAACAAAATATGTGATGTAGAAAGAGTGTGTGATGTTCTTTGTGGATTTTCATCTGTAGTCGACGTGGAACAGAGAAACAAGAATGAGAAAACTGGACAAAGTGTACGACGTAACAGAATATCCAAGAAAACAGCCGATGAATAACAAGAAGGCATTACATGTAAACGACGTCGTTGTTCGTAAGGCTCCTTTACCAACCAGACTTCCAAAACCAGTCGACGAAGATCTCTACAAGATTTCTCCTCAACCTGTTCGCAAAACCAAACGGGTTAGTCACTTTTTGTTTTTTACTAGTATTAAATGTTGTGAATTTGGTATCCTTGATTTGATTAATAATAGTATTGAGTTTAATGTATGTGCAGAAAAAAATGTTGGGTTTCATTTCCATGTGTCTGGTGCCTACTGCCTGCGTTTCATGACCAATTAATCATGTGCCGACATGTCAAGGAAGTTTGGTATTTTTTTGTTTTTTTTCTTAGTTATGCTGCTGGCTATGTTGTGCGGGGATTCTTGTGCACTCAGATGCTAGATGACTTTTTTGTATGATGAGGATGAATGAATTAATATACTAGTCATTGCTATCACAAATTTAATTACTAGTGTTTGATTGCATGACATGAGTTTGGTTGGATTATATATTTTAAAGGTATAGTAATTCCTTAGTCCTAAATCGGGGTTTAGCTTCTTAATTTTTAAAAGACCAATTTGATTTTCGAACTTATTAAAAAGGGGTCACATACATTTTTACCTCTGATTTCCCCAAAGCATATTTTGGTCTATGTGACATTCCTGTTGGCACATATGTATCATCACTATTGTTAAGAAACTGAAAACAGCTCATGAAAGAGCTATAAAATTATACACTAACAAAAAACCTCATGGAAGGAGCTCGAGAGAAGAAGAAAGAGTGAAGCATGGAAATTTCATATACTTTGCTTAATCTTCAATGTACATGGAGGAGTGAAGAGTGAATATATAGGTGATGAGTTAGATCTTCTAACTGCCTAACTAACTTACAAATCACCTATAACTAACTTTCTTAAAGAAGTAAAACAAATAACAAACTTTCAAAACCTTTTAATAAAGGAAAGTTGCACCAATATGAAAACTAAAGCTATAATTTCAACATCCTTCTTCAGGCTTAAGCATGATAGATATCTAACATGCCAAGCTTGAATATGAAGTTCTGAAACTTGCTTGTGGTCAAAGGGTTTGTGAGAAAATTAGCCAACTATTCTTAGGAAGCTATTGGAAGTAACTTTAAAACATGAAATTCTGGTATGCAAATCTCATATGTCTCAAGAACATTGATCTCTGCTCAACAAGGACGAGGACAGACCATGACCAATTTAAATTTCTTTAAATTGTACCAATGTCATGACCAACGTCATGACTCTGTTGTAACATCTGCAGACTAACTTACTATTTATCTAAACATTTAAATTGTGCAGAACTGTAAATGCTGAAAGATAAATAACACAATGAATTGTTTACCCAGTTCGGTGCAACCTCACCTACATCTGGGGGCTACCAAGTCAAGAAGGAAATCCACTATTAGCACAATCAATTCAGAGCTAAACTCCCCCGTTTACAACTCCTCACTTAATCTCTACCCAATGCAATTTCTGCCTAGAGACCATTAGACAAGAGTATACCCACTCACTCCCCCTCAATCAGCGCAATGATATACAATTCAATACAAAAGACAGATTTTAGAAGACACTCTTCAAAGTCACAATACTTGATTTTGCTTAACAACTTCAATCAAGGACAATGAACACAACAATTCATACACACTAACCAAAGCAATTATACAGCATGCAATTGCTTGGCACACAAGTATCCTAAGACACCTAAACACACGTGAAGAGCAACACTCTTCACTCACAAATATGTCTACCATAATGTATCAAAAGATACAAAGGGTGACTTACACACACAAGTGACTCTCAAACCCTAGACCTTTATTTTACACTCAAGTTGTTCTTGATGTGAGTGCTTGATTTCTTCTGCTTCTGCTCCTCCTTTTATAACAATGCAGACTGCGCTTGGGCTGGTCACAAGTAACAAACTTTAGGTTTAACCAAGTTAAACCACTTTCCATAATTCAAGGTGCTGTCAAATTAGGTCACAGCTGCTTCATGTCATGTCCATCCCTGACTAGAATCTCGCCTGAGATAACTAAGAAGCCATAACAGGTTTCCTGAAATTTAGCCTGAGATATATCAGGTATCATAACAGGAAAAACAAACCCTGCACGCCTGATGTCATACGATCAATGTCATAACATTCAGTCATGACATTCAGCTTCACTTACTCTTAGCTGACCAATCTTCCCCTGCTGAACACTCCTGCAGAATCTTCTTCACAACAGTAGAAACAAGCATATTATAGTTTCCTAATAAGTCTCAAAGATCCTTTTTATGAACACTAATTAAATCTTCACTTTGTTCCTAATGAATCTCTTTGGCCTGTACATACTGATGAGGAATATCCAACAGGACCAAAACCCTTCTGTCAAGAGATATAACATAACAACCCCTACTGTACCAGACATTGATGTCATGACATTCAGTATGACATCCATGACAACAGTTCTGTCATCAGCTCCTGCTAGCTCCTGTTGCACCAGACAGCGATGTCATGACATTGGTAATGACATCCATGACAACAATTCTGTCATCAGCTTCTGTTGCACCAGACAACGATGATAGTAGTACTGTCATCAGCTCCTGCTAGCTCCTACTACACCAGGTAATGATATCATGTTTAAACACACATGACAATAGTTCTGTCATGACAGCAGATGGATGTCACGACATTCAACATTACATTCACATTAAAACACACAACAACAGTTCTGTCACCACAGCAGATGTAGATGTTATAACATCCTGCATAACATCAGTGCAGGATCATGTTTTACCAAAATTTAGCCAATCATAGAACCATGGGCAATCCTATATCATAGAACTATGGAACTAACAATCTCCCCCTTTGGCAAATTTTGGCTAAAACAACCAAACACCTTATCAGGGCAGCAGCAGTAGTTTTTCCAGCCTCACACATTATCATGCTCCCCCTTGATAGTTGCAACAGATAAAACCACTTTACTCCCTCTTAGTTTAGTCAAAAATTGACAAAAATTGGAGTAAGTATACATACTGCACATGGTGTCCAAGTCTGACATTTCTTGATCTCTAAAGACTTCACCAACAATCATGGACAATGACTTAACCTCCTTGCTAAACTCACTCAGCCAGTGTAAAATCAATCCTGATTTCAGCTCATCATGTATGACATCAACTCCTTTACTTTGGTTCTTAATGCACCACCCACAAGGCTTATTATTTCCAAAGTAGCCCATACATTTCATGAAGATCTCAGAAGGACACAACAATAGCAGCTTAACAGGTCATCACAAACCCCAGAACATCATAGAGAGATAAACTCTCATGTAGCTTCCTCATAGGCATACTGTTCAGACAAGTAATGCAGCTACACATCAGACAGGTACACAGCTCCCCCTGTCATGCATAATCAGCACTCCCCCTAAAAGAGAGACCTATCTGTAAGATTACTCAGATTCATCTTTGAAAAAAACTGGAACAATCTCCAAGATGTCAGGGTGAATGTCCTTCCTTATGCACAAGATCAAGGCTGATGGTGTCTTGATCTTCATCTTCTCCTGTCAAACATGACAGAACATTTGGAAAGAGGCTCAAAACCCTGGTTTGATCCATTGATACCCAATGACAGAATAAAATATACTGTCAGGTTCACCATGAGCTAGAGCAGTAACACAATGTCACAGCATCTGGTATGACATTCCTCCTTCCTAGAGGCATACAGTCACAAACTGCTTGAAGCCACAAGCAATCTTGAGACACACTTGTACCATTGCAGCAACATATCATAGATAGAAGTATACCTCCCCATACCAAGGATAACTAGTGCTTTATTTTCAGAAGCACGTGAATGGAAAACATAAGACTCATCTTCATGTCTTCAAGAGTTCACTCTTTGTTCAACATACCTGCTGAACGCATTCACTTACTGCTTGAACTACAAGCAACTAGTACACCCATCAAACAGAAACTTTCCCCCTATCTTTTATAAAAGCTGCTCCAAGTTCACCATAGTACATCTCATGACCAACTCCATGCTCATACAGTGAGAAGGCACCAAACTGATCCACATCTTCCTAGAGTTACTTGTAGCAGAAGAGACCACTTCTCCACAAGTATTCTGACCTTAGGCTGAGTACAAGATAGACCCCCCATAATCCAAGACATTCTTTCTTCATCATTCTCCCATATGATAAGTTAGAACACTTCTGATTCAACTAGAGACTTTATGCAATCAACCAATGATCTACTCCGGTCTTGTACAATCCTTTCACATCATACTCCAAGATAGTCCTTTTACCTCATCATTCTTCCGTATGACAAGATAGAGTACTTCTTAGTCAAGATGTGAATCACAAGTTCTGCACCAGATCTTCAAGTCCTTTGCCGAGGAAAACCAAACCATATCCACTGGTTCTTTATCTGCCCACAACTGGAATGACTTCTGCCTAGTAATCCAACTGAAGATCTTCAGAGAACACAACTCCACCAGCTTGATCAAATACATCTCCAAAAGAAGGTAATCTTCCATACACAGCTTAGGGCTTCTACCACAAGCTCCAATATATGAACAGAACCAGAACCTTCTTTGGTCTTCAAACAACTACCCTTCTGCACAAGAGTAATGTTCTTCAAGCACCCTTCTGAAATAACCAACTGCCACTGTTTAGTTAACTCAGCTTCTTTAAGAGCTCTAGAGAATCTGCTAATCCACCAGGCCACTTTGATCTTCAAGTCTCAAATTCTTCTTGCTCCAAATCAAGGCATCTACTTCATCACACAGCTCCCGCAAACTGCATGAGATAAAGCATTACTTCCAACTTATCTTCATCACTTGAGGCCTTGAAGTTTCTGCTTGATGTTATAACTTCGGTTAAGACATCCAGCTGGTGAGTTCAGGCTTTCAATCTACTACTTAGAATAGCCTTATCACTCTATCAAAACAAGAGTTCTATGTTCACAGAGACTAGACACCCTTTATTCTGCTTTAACAGATACCTTGAACTGCATTTCCTTCAGGAACTCTTCTTTAGAGAAACCAATCATGCCAAAGCTTGATTCTTCAGAGAGGAGGGAAAAATCTTTACAAAAGGAATCCGGCTTTCTTTAAGTAGAGACTTCTTCAGAAAATCAGAGATAACTGCCACTTATCCTTGACTTCCAAGCTGAGCAAGATCTCATGCTCCTGTGCACTTAGATCAGAAATAAACTGACCCAAGAAGAGCTACCAGCACTATCTTCTAGACCAGTTTCTTGCCAGGAAACTTTGTAGATACAGATCATATGTTGCT